AGTAGGGCTCCTTTATAGGTCTGTAATCTTCCACAGAGTGGGGGAAAGTAGAGACCATAACCAGGTAAACATTTCGAACATGACCTTAGCAAGGCACAAAGTTTGATAAAGCAGCACTTTTAGTTTTAAAAATTCCCATTATGTAAGTTAGATAAGACATAAGCGAACAATATTGTTTTCAAATAGATCCTCTTCAGGCTTTAATATAAATAGCTTAATATGCATAAAATTAAACCAGTCATGTATATTTGTCGGTTGATGTGATAAATGTTTTAAAACAACGATGGTGACAATAATACAAATAATAATAATGATAAGAACCAAGATAGCAGCATGAAAATGTAGACACTCCGAAAATCAAAGTGGGTTAAAAGTTTATGAAAATAAAAGTTGCGTAATAGTAAAAGACGAGGTAAGTGGATTAAAAAACTAAATAATATCATTGTGTATAAACATTCATTAAAAATATATTTCTAACAAATTGATTCTCTCCACAATGCACACATTTCTCATGGAAATGATGGACAAACAAAACCTTGACAAATACAGTAAGTAAACGACGAGTTTGAATAACTTTCGATAGATGAGTTGGTACGCGGTGAATAATTGTGAAAGCATTAATCTTATCTACCAAATGAACATTATCAACGAGGTGAGATAGTGTTCATTTGGTAGATAAGATTAATGCTTTCACAATTATTCACCGCGTACCAACTCATCTATCGAAAGTTATTCAAACTCGTCGTTTACTTACTGTATTTGTCAAGGTTTTGTTTGTCCATCATTTCCATGAGAAATGTGTGCATTGTGGAGAGAATCAATTTGTTAGAAATATATTTTTAATGAATGTTTATACACAATGATATTATTTAGTTTTTTAATCCACTTACCTCGTCTTTTACTATTACGCAACTTTTATTTTCATAAACTTTTAACCCACTTTGATTTTCGGAGTGTCTACATTTTCATGCTGCTATCTTGGTTCTTATCATTATTATTATTTGTATTATTGTCACCATCGTTGTTTTAAAACATTTATCACATCAACCGACAAATATACATGACTGGTTTAATTTTATGCATATTAAGCTATTTATATTAAAGCCTGAAGAGGATCTATTTGAAAACAATATTGTTCGCTTATGTCTTATCTAACTTACATAATGGGAATTTTTAAAACTAAAAGTGCTGCTTTATCAAACTTTGTGCCTTGCTAAGGTCATGTTCGAAATGTTTACCTGGTTATGGTCTCTACTTTCCCCCACTCTGTGGAAGATTACAGACCTATAAAGGAGCCCTACTTAATCTTTGCTCAATGGAGTGGTGACAGTTGGTTCGATGACCCTTACTGGCTTCTTGGCATGCCGTTTAGACCTGATTACTTGCCATTCCTCAGAGTCGGGTATGCAAGGCTTACTAAGCCCTAGTCCTGTGGCCTTGACACTGACAGCCTCAGAACAGACTTGCATCCCATTCTGTTTAATTCTTGTCAATGATTGAATTGCCGAACTGGGTATGACCTTCGGCCTGCGTGGTTCCGTTGTTGGCACTGGGAGTGCTTCACTTTTGTTTCTTTTATCTGAAGTAGACCTAGTCATACGGTCAGCAATTTTCAGACTGGGAGATGGTCCCTAGCGAAAACAAGTTCCGGTTACTTTAAGTCGTGTTCATATCAACAAAGGAGAGGGATCAGATTCTGAAGAACGATTCTAGACTTCAGGGATTTAGGGCGTTCGTGCGTAAGGATCTGGCTCTTGTTGATCAAATCAGAAAGCAATAGGCAGAACTAAAATCCAGATTATCAGCAAGAGAACAAGACCTAAAAGTGGTGGGTTTTCGTGTAGTGAGGTTTCAGCAACAAATGATGCCGAAGCCTCTATGGATACGACAAAAACTTATTTAAGTAATTTAATCGTCTTGTACACATGCACATAGTTTCTTAAACAAGTGGACTAAGGTTAGTAATGTGATAAGCATAGAAAGTCCTGACATCATTGCTATCTCAAAAACTTGGTTCTCTTCTGTGGAACACATTTACGAAAATTCGTCCCTTTTAGAAGTGATAGGTTAGCATGGAAAGGTGGTGGTGTCATCCTCTTCGTCAAGAATATCCTGACTGTAAGAGAAATGGAAACGGTTACACATGAAGTGGGACATGTGAAATGCTGCGCTGTCGACTAAAATGCAAGGGACAAGATGTTAACGTAATCATAGCATATCGAGGCCCTGAACGCGAGGCAGCAGACTTCCTCCTGAATAACCCGACTCTGTGAACAGATGCTGATGCCTAGTTGTAGAACTCCAAATTGTACCGCAAATTGTTTGGAATAAAATGAACTATTATTATATTAGAGACTTCAACGCATCACTAGTTGACTGGGATAGACTAAAAACAGAAACATCACGTAACTCGTTTGATCACAGGTTAGTGGAAATATCGATTTCGTTGGCCTGCACATAGCACATTAGGACAGCAACCAGACATGATCATCAGCATGCTCCATCAGTTCTAGACTTAGTATTCTCACACACATGATATATGCTTTATCCGGCACCAAGCACCCTTTAGCAAAAGTGACTAAGCTGTGATCATCTTCAGATTCACAGCAGACGTCTTGTACCAGGCCGATGCCCCAGCTAGACTCAACATATTGCAAGCGAATATGGAAGCTATTAACCTGGCAGCCTCTTCGGAGGACTGGACAGTCAATCCATAAGCCACAGTTGAAGCTGCGTGGTGCTCCTTCAAACAGTTATATGCATCAGTGACTCAACCGTTCATTCCATGGACTGTTCCGAGAGGATGGAAACACTGTCCTCTGTGGATAAACCATGAAATCCAATTCTTGCTACAACGTAAGGAAAATTGTTAGAGTCTTGTCATCCACCTCGGTACTCCCGAGGTAATGAAGCATTACAAAGAAGCCCGAAACAAACGTATTTTCGCAATCCACCGGTTTCAAATATACTTCGAAGCACGTCTTGCCCAAGCTGCAATGCAACATCCAAAGAGGCTATTTTCTCATGTGAACTATAGAAATGTGTTGTAGTACACCCGCCCTAATCAAAGGGATAGAAACTGACTGTTTGAAGACGATAAGGAAAAAGCAGGGAACGTGGCTGGATATTTTGCTGAGGTCTTTAGACGGGGATCTTCTGTAGGCATTAATTCAATAGTAGGAAGCATTGACATCCAACTCTGTGGATATCGACCGCAATGATGTATTTCGGACACTTTCGATGTAGAAAAATTAACGGGACCGGATGAGCTGCACCGAAGGCTGCTCAGAGGACTTGCATTCTCTGTAGCCGGCACATTTACTGCTACATTTAGATTGCCCTTCAGTGAAGGCACAATCCCCTATGATTGAAATGATACCGTAGTCACACCCATCTACAAGGCAAGTTCTAGGCAGCACCCACCAAATTACAGACAAATTTGACTAGTACTGTAGTAGAAATCCTAGAAAGTGATCAAGAAAGCCACTACAGCTCACTTAGCAACGCTATTGTCCTGTTCGCAGCATGTCTTCCGCAGAAATCTTTCTAGCTTGACGAACCTCCTTAGTCAGAAAAAGCTGGGTTAAGTCTAAAGATGATAGAACACCTTTATACGTTATATTCGTTGACTTTAGTAAGGCATTCGACAAGGTACCTCACTCCAGGTTGTTCGGGAAACTGGAAAGTTGTTGAACCACTGGCAGTCTGCTTGGATGGATAAGAGAATTTCTTGTTAGTAGCAGACAAAGAATAAGGATCAATTCTCAACTCTCCACTTGGAAGTCGGTAGACAGTGAAGTTCAACAAGTAACAGTCCTGGGTCCTCTGCTATTTTTCCTATGGTAAATGAGCAGCCAAATATCACGAAATCCTCTATGGTTCTCTATGCTGTTGATGTAATAATCTGGCGGGAAATTAGGAATGACGAGGATATACGTGCGCTTCAGACAGACCTACACAGCTTGTTTACCTGGTCAGAGAAGTGGCTGATGCCCATCATCGCAGGTAAATATGTGAGCATGCACTTTGGGCATACACACGGAGACACCTATGATGTTGATGAAACTCCTCTACCGTCATTACTGACCCACAATGATATAGGAGTCAAGGTACACTGTCGATTGGTAGCAGCTCGGAGTTTTAGGACACTGGGCATTCCGCAGAACGTTTATAAAAATGTTATATGTTCATCATCTTAAACACATCTTCAGTTACGTCTAAACTAGAAAACTGCACACAGGCGGCAAGTCCTTGTGCAAAGGCAACGCTAAACTTCTGGAGAAACTTCAGAGGGCAGCCAGTCGTATGATCCTTGTGATAGCTGGCCTCACCTATGAAGATCGACTTGAGGCCTTTATCATATCGCAGACAGAGAGGGGTGGATCTAATCTTGCTATACAGGATTCTAAGAAATGACTTTGGACCTGATCTACCTTCTCTTTTTAATACATGGAAAATATACTGAATTACTAAATCTAATGTGGTTATTTGCTGGTTTGAAGTTTTGTAATATGCACTGAAGCTTCTAAAATATTAAATGCACCACACCTACTTGAACAGTTGATGCTTCCTGAAACGCTCTAGTCGAAGTATCCATTAAAATGGAGTGCTTTTTTATTTCCTCATTCATCCACTTTATTTCATTTTTGCTAGTTTTGGAACCATGGTTCCCCTGTGCACAGGGGCACTGACATATGACCTCTCTTCATGAGTTCTCACTGGAAAAAGCGGTACTCAAGAGAGTCAGGAAGATCGGCTCAATTGTTTTCACAGGAACCATCATAAACCGAAGATAATTGCACTATCCTTCACTCGGAAGGCTTCAGTAGACAATTGTGTCCAAACAACTCTGTCTCCCCCAAAGTTCGTTCATAATTCTACAAAACTATCTGAAACTGTCTACTGACTCTAACTTTTGGAATTTCTATATTTCCCCTCATAATTTTCCTTGGATTGTTAGCACGGTTCTCCCGAAACTTATATGTAGTCAGTGAACTTACATGGACCAAGTTACAGAGATTGTCCACTATAATGTTGAGAAAACTTTCAACTTCATTTCTCTCTAGTCCTTTGTATAAGAACGATTCCGGATGAAGTCTCTCAGCACTAAGTCTGGATATAAAAGCGTGAACATCAATGACAAAACATACTTTTCACCCTCAACATCATAGTCAGGTTCATTGTAATTATAGTCATCGGATTCATCTGAGTCAAAAGAGGGGTCATTATTTGACTCTTCCTCCATTCTGAGCTGACAAGACCCAACCGCTAAAATATCATACCGATATTGACCTAGAATTAAAATCCTCCGGGCAATCTCATTCAATATCAAACGTCCAAAACCAATAGTGCGAGCTAAGGAAACTTGTAGTTTTTGAGCTCTCACTTCTAGGTCCTGAAGCCAGTTTTCTTTTGTTCCGTTATACCCCTTCGGTGGTCTCAGAGTCCTCTACGTTTTTCCGGTTAACAGCTATGGAAGGTAGTGATTGTCTATTTGAAGGTATTTTTTCTCGCAGCTTGTAGCTTGGTTTGTATGGGAGGACAGTGCAGCTGCTGATAAGATCGATTAATCTTTTGCAGCCCCTTTTTTTGTGGGTACCTACAGTTAAGTAGTAGGTACTACTTAAAAAGTGTTAAGAATAGGGTGGGTGGGGAATAAGAAAAGGGAGAGCGAAAATTACTTGTGCAAAAATAAGTGATACCGGTAATAATACGGAGTACGGATGCCTCTGATTACAGATATTACGGTTGGGAAACACAGAAGTAGCTGAGCGTACCTTCAGTTACTACCGATGAATGTTGATGGTAAGCCGTTCACGATCATGTACTTATCTAGTAATAGTTTGAAAGGGTCGACTTTTGCGGCTGTAGTTACTTCCCTTAGTAGAGGATTTCATAAAGCACATAATGTGTGTGTGAAGAATTTCGCTCTCACTCTCATCTTTGTTCCATGGAGGGGTATACAAGTGGAGTTCCTGCAAGACTGCTGGTTTGGGATGGCAAAAACTAAGGACAAATATTCGTTCAATAGATTACAAATTTCATACATTCATAGAGCAAAACTGGGGGACCTCAAAATGACGCGAAGATAAGAATTATCCAGTGAGTGACCGAGTGTCTCCGAATAGTGCTAAAGTGGCTGAAAGTGATTTGCTCCTCACGAGTCAGGCTTTGAGGAGGAAATGTACCCCAGTTACAACGGACAGAAGTTACTTTGCGAGGAGAAGAACAGTCACGGTGAGTTACAAATACCTTGGCAAGTCTTAGCAGCATATGCCTTCTTTTCAAGAGTCAGTACAGCAAATAGTTCATGTCGCAACCAGGCTTGTCTAGGCGGAAAATTTGTACCAAGGTAAGTATTTATATTTTCATCAAACATGTTGGCTGGTAGTTAAATTTCATAACCAGAGTAGTAGTCACCGCATTCCGTACAGTGAAAATAAATCCTATATTTCCCCATATATCGTATCTATGGCCTCTACATACCATGCACGTGATCGGATCCATACTGCAGTAAGGCTATGGAAGTTTATAAAATGAGCGTACTGCAACCACTACTACATCGCGTCCTCTTCTAATGCACTATACAACCCCCATCACTTCACTCTTCTGTGCTGAAACCTTCTTCTTATTTAGCGGTTATTCACAGGCATGATCACAACGTTCAGCAATCCCTCGTCTCCCAGATTTTCACTTAGACACGTTCACTGATATACTTCCATGTGGTTATAAGCAGCTGCATTGCAATGAGCCCCAGAGTGACGCTTACTACTCTCGCGTCCCGCGCCTTTCTAAGAGGAAACGACAGCTTCCTACAGCGTGACTGCACCCGTGTTTTACGGCGTTCCTTATAGTAGTTGACTTTTAATGGACAGCCGATTTTCTAGTTCACTATCATATTACTATTTAGTATTCCTCTGAGCCGAGTTCCCCCCCTTCAAGTTCTGACTGCAGTTAAAACCCGCTGGCTACTATGTCATCGTATTTTACCATGGACAAACAAACAAATAGTTTGGCGCAAGTCTCCACGCATTCGCATCCTTAGCACTGAATTCTTCTAGTTTTCTCGTTCATTCGTTGTTGATCGCCAATTCAAGTGCACCATAGTTGGTTCCATACCTACCTGTGCATGTATTTCGTCCCCTTTCCTGCAGAAATGTTCTGCATGTTAGCACCCAAAGCGATTATTCTGGCATTTCAGTCCCAAGTTATGGCTTCCACTGAGGCTTCTTCCTCAAACAAGGGTTTATATTTTGGCTTGTATCCACATACTGCTTTTTGAAAGAGGTGCGATCTTACTGTGACTTAGTATTTTGACTTTTGCCGCGAAAAACACAACGAGTCTTCAGTGAGAGTATTCTTTTTGGGCTTCAAGTTCGCCAAGTCTACCTTGTTTTTACTCACACTTCTGCTGTAACTTGGATAACGAGTTACCAAGGCCTATTCACCACGATTCTCGCAAGTGGAAGCTCCTTAAAAATATAATGAACCCCAGGGGATTAACAGCACAAAGCGTTTCACGGATGCCCCGAAAAGATTGTGACCCCTGACCGTGGCTGGTCAAAGTGGTCTTTCCTGCCCCTCAAATGGCAGCATCCACACCTGGGGCACTCCGGATGAGCGGAAGTCAACTGCCACCTGGAGTCCGTATGCAGGCCGAATGGTCGCAGGACGAGTGTCCATAATGAGAAAGGAAAAAATTGCAGCTGGCCGTGTCTCTGGAAGACTGCTTAGATGCGAAATCGGGGAAGGGTGGGAAACGCTACACTGGCAGGGACCAACTAGACACTTTCCAAGCCCCACACCTGAGGATTCAGCCAGCCGCCTGGACAGTGAAGAGAGTTCAGGAGGTGCATTTCAGGTAGACAGTATGAACTGAATCTATACAAATACACCGAGTTTGCCGAATAAGCTGGACGAAGCGGGGGAAGTCAATAAGGACACGTATATTCATCTTATTCGTGTCGCTGAGACATGGGTTTCTCCCCCAACACGTCGAATCGGGAGTTGAAAGTTTCTAACACCACTGTTTTACACTGACGGGAAGGCCGGTAGGGGTTCACGTGGCACCTTACGTCAGCTAGTCTCTCCTAGCTCGACATGTCCGCACTCAAGGGTAGGAATGCTTCGAGGAGTCCATCTGGGGCGCCATAAAGTCGCCCAAGACTGTGAGGTTCATGATAGGAGTCACTCATGGGTGGCCATCTCTTCTAACGTACACTATGGTGACCGGATGCTAGAGGCGATCACTCGCTCCCTCAAACTGGGGTACGCACAAGCTTAAGATGACTTTATCCTACCGTAGGATAACTTCGCAGATCACGCACTTAGCGGGAGTGATGGTTCCAATGAAGCCCGATCCTTCCATCTGATTGGGGAACTGGGGTTTAAGAACGGTAACGTGGCCGTGGGGAGCTCAAACCCCATATCGCTTAGACTGCGTCTTCACAAATGAAGAATCTTTGATCGACAACCTAGCAATCCTTCCTTCTATGTGCATAAGTGACCAAGTTGCTGCTGGCTTCCAGGATACCTGCGAGACCAACCTAATCAGACTCCTCAACGAGAGTCATTAGAACTTAAGGCAAATTAACAATCCGGCTCTTCAAATGACACTGGAGCAAACAGATTGGAAAGTTAACCATGTATGGCAGGACGTGAACACCCATCGGGGAATCATGCTCGACAAAATCATGCATGCAATCGTCGGTCTGCTACAGTTTCAAGACTGAAGTGCTTCAGGCTGGCTAAGGTAATAAGGAACTACACTCTCAGACTGCTTAGGTTCAGGAGACAACACTGGTCCGAAAACAAAAGGATTGGCGTTGAATACACTCATAGATAGCTCAAACAGGAAAGAAACATATGCACGACGGCACCAAGATCCGATTGGCAACGGAATCAAGTTAGACCTACAAACATGTTCGTTTGTAACCCGAGAAGTTTGTTCCACTAAGCTGCTTCGTTCTGGTAGGCTAAAACGGGACGCCCTCAAGTGTTACGTATCAGTGGACTGACTAGTAGCAACAGCAGAGAAGCCCAGCTCCTGATGGACCAGTATCTTTTTGTCATTGTCCATGGATGGGTCAGCGCTGTCTACCGTCGAGGATGAATTCATGTTATCCACCCAGACTTTATGAGGGCTTCTGACTGTGGTGATCACAGCCACCCTACTGATAAATTAAAATTAATCGGCGTAGGACCACCGCCAATCGGCTGGTTGTCTCCACATCTACGAGGTCATTCATTTGTAGTTCACGCGAGTTTCTCTATGTCTAAAGAAACAGAATGTCCTGGTGGTGCTCCCCAAGGTTCAGACTCCTGTAGTATGTCACAAGTTGCCAGTGATTGTTAGAGGATTTGAAAGACCAGTTTGCAAATTGCATGTCCTATCTTATTCCAGTTAACATCATCCCTTGATTGTGGGCAGTCTTTTTCGATGGGCAATGGCGTTAAACTCAAAATATGTTTAGACATATTAAGATAGCCCAAGATCGAACTCCACCTCAAAGGAAAAATACAAAGCCCCACACAGTACTCAGCAACAGTGTATCCACTACGAAGCAAGTAAGTGACGTATCTAAAAATGATGTTCTTATCTAACATTGTCTTGGTAAAACACATGACCCTAAAAGCGTCATACCGCCTACCATACGGTGTAAAAAACTAGGTAAAGTGATACCACCCTGCCAACATAGCTGAATAGTAAATCCGGAACTCTCGCGAGTACAGCACTCCATCAGTCAACTCACCAGTCAAAGAGAAAAAAGTACTTCATGCGCCCACCGATAGAAGCAGACACACCCTATCTGTAGACCTAGACTCACCGCCATCTAACCGAACAACCCGCCAGTTTAGGCCTCGTGCGAACGAAATGATGCAAACAAATACAAATAATAAAAAACCCTTTGTACCAAAAAACTGCTCCTTTTGAAAACAGCAGCTTTGATAGGCCAAAAACCAGCAGAATGAACCAATCTGCTATACTAAATGAAGATGTAACTGGCAATAAAAACCAATACGACCACAAAAATGGGCTACTTTTACCAACCGCATTCGATACAGACCGGGCAGCAGAAATAACCGGATGAAATTTCCCTTCACAAACGCAACTCAGAATCCTTATCCTTGGTAGAATAGGCATAATAACGCAACGCGTCGATATAGTCTGTAACACAGGACCCAAGAAGTAACGAAAATACTAATAGTGGACTTTACACAGCGTACAACTCACAAATAAGTCAT